CTGAACCTGAATATCTGAATGAGGAATGACATGATCGGGGTCGCACACGTACTTACACAACATAGATGCGTAGAATACATTATGAATGCCTGATAACTCGGGAGGCAGGGCTAAACGATACGCGACCTCGCCTACTCGTTCGAGAACCTCGAACGGACCGATGAACCGAGGGTGAAGCTTCCCCAGCTTTCCGAATCGCACAACTCCGCGAATCGGACGAACTCTGAGAAAGGCTGGCTCGCCAACCTCGAACTGAATGTCTCGCCGATGATGATCGGCGGAAGATTTCTGACGACTCTGAGCTGTCCTGAGTCTCTGCCGGATCAACTCGACCTGATCTGCTGTCTCCTCGATCAACTCGGGACCGAGTACTCGTCGCTCTCCGACGTCATCCCAATAGAGAGGGGAACGACACTTGCGACCGTAAAGTGCCTCGTAAGGAGCCATTTGAATAGACGAATGATAGCTGTTGTTATACGCGAACTCAGCGTACGGCAACAACGACTCACACTTGGCACCCCTGTCAACAACCAAAGCGCGAAGCATATCCTCCAGCGTCTGAATAGTCCGCTCTGACTGACCATCTGTTTTCGGATGGTAGGCTGAACTGAACTCAAGCTTCGTGCCCATCGCCTCATGCAAGCTGTGCCAGAATCGACTGACGAATCTGGGATATCTGTCTGATACAATAGTGACGGGCACTCCGTGGAGTCGGATGATTCCACGGGTATATATCTCAGCCAACTTATCCATAGACATCCTCATCGAAACGGGTAAGAAATGCGCAACCTTAGTCAATCTGTCGACCACGACCCAGATAGCGTCGTGATGTTCAGACGACCTCGGCAATCCCGTAACGAAATCCATCGTGACTTCCTCCCACTTCCACCTCGGAATCGGTAGTGGTTGCAGGAGGCCAATCGGACTCTTATGCTCGGCCTTAACTTGCTGACAGGTTAAACATCTCCTGACGAACTCGGCGATGTCCTTCTTCATACCTCGCCACCAGAACGACCCCCTTCAGGTCGTTATACATCTTCGTGCTCCCGGGGTGGGCTAGGTAGGGTGCGGTATGGGCCTCTGATA